AAGCATATACAGAAATTTAATCTTTCAAAAATAAGAACTGAATTGATTTTGTATTTGTTAAATTCCATAATCTTATGATTTTGTCTTGCCCAAGTGATTTAAGAATTAACAATTTTAGGAAAACTGAATTGTTGAATTGCAATGATGTAGATTCTTAATTACTTAAACAGGATATACAGTAGCTAACTTCTCAATTTCAGTTAAACCTTTTAATTTATATATATTAATTGCTTCTTGAGGCTCTGATGGAACTGCTATAAATTTATCTTTTGTACAAAAAGCAGTCAAATTATGCTCAATTTCAAGGTTGTTGAATAATTCTAAATTTTAAAACAATTGAATATCTTATTTTTAGAAAAAAATAAATTAATTCTCTTGGAATGGAAATATTTAATCATATTCTGAAGTAAGCTCTACTCTTTTTATTTTATTAATTTAATTGTAAACAATTTGGAAAACTAAATATTCTTGCCTACATAATAATATCAAAAACTCGTCATTTAAAGAGAAACAGAATAATCTTATTTAATAATTGCATTCAATTTTTTTTAAGACTTCCATTTACGAAAGAGAAAATATAAATATTTCTTTTGATAATATTTCTTCTGAATCCTATTATATTTCTTCCTAATCAATTTATCTTTCTTGCTAATCGAATTGTATTTCAATCATGTTTAAACAATTTGATAAACAAAAATTCAGCACTTTATGATTAAAAGAGCCCTTAAAGTGGATTTGCTTCAATTTCATATTAGAATCTACTTCAAATATTTTGAACTTTCTATGGGCTATGACATATTTGCATTTATCTGCAATTGTGAATTTTATGAAGGATTGTTTTTAAAAATGAGAGAACAATTTATTCCATTTCAATTTTTCTGCTTCCTTAAAATCCAGAAAATACTACGATCTGAAAAAATTTTAGACTATTTGTTAAGAATCAGAGGTAAAATAAAAGTATTTGCTTGCTTACTCTCTTTTTAAAATAAATTTTTCAATAATAACTTTGCCCATAATTTTAAATAATATCATCCCTATTTCACTTTCAAATGCAAAATATGTACCAGTATTATCAAAATTACCATACCATATATAACTATCATTATATTCATTTAACAATGTTAATTCTTCTAAATCCCAAAATTTTATTTCACGATCTGATTAAGAACATAATACTAAACCATCTGCCGAAGCCAATATTTTTTCTAATGAGTCAATATGTCCATCCATTTCAAAATTCTATTATTGTCTTAAAGCTTTAAAATTCCAAATTTTTAATGTGCTCTCATAAAAACTTACTAAAAGGCCTTTAGTGTCCATCTTTTATTTAAAGAGAACCTTATAAGTTTTCATATCCCAAACTTTAATATGAGAATCTTTATAAGCACTCACAATATATAAATCATCTTCTGACAATTAAAAATCAGTTAAATTTTTATCGTCTCTTCAATTCTGTTAATTATATTATTCTTTTTTAAATCAAGAATTATAAATTATGATTATGATTTTTATTGATTTACTCTAAATATCCATAAGTCTGATTTATTTCTTTGTAGGATATTAGATATTTCTCCTTTTAAATTTAATTATTCAAATTTTTTATAGCAGAAATCAGTTTTTGCATTGATTTCTTTAAAATAATAATTATCATTCTCTAATTAACATATCTATATAATGTTGGTAATTTAAAAAAAAAAATAAAAGGAAGACCATACAGGACCCAAAATATTAGTTCCATATCTATTTGTAATAGAATGTGTTGACAAAAAGCAAATTTATTTTTCTTCATTAACAAATATTATATGTTATCCATCAAAATGCTATATAAATTTTTGAATTTTTTATGCAAAACCAACAAGTTAAGGTTATTTAAAATTGTCAAGATCAAAACGCTCAATTATCAATTTAACCCTTATAATAAGGTATTAATTATTATTCATAAATAACATTGTGTGAGGAATATAGAAACATTCAGTAGATTAAAGATAATGAGGATTTTCTCGATTTTTCATTGTATATAAATCAATTTAGATCTAGTCTTTATTTTTATGTGCTATTGCTAAAATATCATCTACTTCGGATAATTATAAAAGACAAATTTTTTAAGTATCAATATTAATTTGACTTATTATTACTGTTTTAGAAATATCCATTATCATGATTTATTTTTCAGTGGCAAAACATAGAGCTGACGAATCTGATGTAAAAACAGCCTCTATTATCGCACATTTTCAAATATATTTGTAGCTTTATCCTTCTATCTTCAAAATTTCTATAAATTCATTTTCACCTGTGAAAATTAATTAGCAGCCTTAATTTTCTAATTATTCATTCTAAAAAAACTAATGATCTTCATTTAATAATTTTTTTAAGTAAATATTTATAATTATAGCTATTCTTTAAAAGTTAGTCTTAATTACTATTTGAGTTAAAAAATCGGAGTCTATTAAGAGCTTCCAGCGAATGCTCTATCACAAAAATATTCCCTTATAATTTCCAAATTTCAACGTTTTCCCAATCATACGCAGCAAATTTATTGCCATCATCATTAAAAATTGCAAAAGTATAACATTTCCTTAATTTTTCAATTATCTTACCACTCTAAACATCCCAAATTGTAAATAATCCGATATCATCCATTGATATCATATGACCTTATTTTGTTGATACAATTATAAATATAATGTGGAAGTTATTATCTACTTTCCAAATAATATTAGGCTCTCGAATGTTTGACATATCCCAAAGTACTATAATGTCAGAATGTGATACTAATACTTATCCATCAGAAGAAAACATTAAGCACGATAAAAAATGCTCACTACTAAATTTATTTATTAATTTCATTTATTTTACATCCCATATTAGCAAAATTTTCAATTGAGCACATGATATTAAATATTTACAATCAGGGAAAAATTCCAAAACTTCCATTTATATTCATCTGACTCTAAAATCCCTTAGTACTTATATTAATTAAGTTCTTTAATATCCAAATATGAATAGTGAATTTACTTGTACAAGCAAATAATTCGAAATTGTTTGAAATTACCGAAACCGTATTTTATGAAAAATCTAACTTATGTTGTATTCTATATTTTTACTTAATATTAATGGTTTAATATATAGCTAAATACTCCCTACCAAAAAAAGTAATAAAATTGTTATCAGGGGATATCAATGCTGTTTTATTTTGACTTAATCTAAAAAAAGAGCAAATTTTATTAATTTTACTTAAATTGTTAATTTCCATGATAATGTGGTAATAGTTTTTGGTTATAAAAAGATAATTTCCATCTTTAGAAGAAGCAACATTATCATTAAATTTATTGAGTTCATTGTCATTTGTAAATTTTATGATTTTACTATTAATTTCTTGAATTTTTGTGATATTTTGATAATCTTGAATATCCCATAATACAATATTGTTAAAACTTATAATGGCAAGAATTCTTGCATTAAGAGAAATTGCCATAGATATTTCAAAGTGCTTGGAAACTCCCAACTCAGTAGTTGTTAATGTATTATTTATTTTCAAATCAATAAGTTCATTGAACCAAATAATTATATTTCCTATCCTTATTAACAATTAACTTCCATCCTAACTGAGAGTAACGTTTACAGCTGATAAAATTTCTTAGAATAATACAATTATCATTGGTTATTTTATTATATTAATCTTGCAAATTCCAGAGTTATATTGAACTTCTTTGTCTTGCAACATATAATTGATAAATTTTTTGCTATGAAAATAGACTTAATCTAATCCTCAAATTACAAATTAAATCTTCTTTCTTTTGGTTTTGAATCCGATTTAAAATTAAATTATCTAAATATTATTTAATGCTAATTAAACAAACTCAAAGTAAAAAATTCATCACCATTTTCGCTCAAAACTGTTTCTAGAAATTTTTCACCTTTATAATCCTGAGTAATTCTTTCTTTATTAATTATATTATTCCATACAGCATCAGTAATGATTGCATTATTAAAGTTACATGAATCAATAGAAATTTTATTAAAAATGGTATTAGATAACACACTCTCACAAAAGCTTAGTCTATTTAAACATGTTTCTGACAGACAAATTGAATCAAAATTTTAATTCCCTAGATTTTTCCTAAAAAACTCAATAGAAATATAGAATTTGAGGCTAAGCGGATATACTTTGAGTCTTTTTGATATGATAGCTGAATTAATGACACCAATAATTTTGTAATATTATCTTTAATTTAAAGATTTGAGTAAAAATAAAGCACCTTAATAATGTTCATGCGAAATATTAAATGAATTATTGTACATCCAACTGTTTTCAAGTTATTTTTCATTCATTTGCTATTAATCGTTTGTTATATATATCTTCTAAAAGATTGAGTATGTATTTCGCAACAAAAAATTCTTATATTGATTTATGAGTAAATAATGCTAATTTCCTTTAGAGCTTAATAGAATACATTCTCGAATTAAATGTTTGTATTCAGAATCTGAATCCAATTCAATAAATATTAATCTTCCCATTATAACTATTTTGATTAATTTATTGAAGAAAGCATTAATCTTCCTTTTGGCTGATAATTCACTTAAAATTATTGGTGTATTATCATATCTAAAGCTAAGGATTAAGAAAATTCTAATAAATCAATTGAAATCATCTCTTAATTAGATATTTTTCCTAGTTCCATCCATTTTTATATTTATTGTTAATGATAATAAATAACGAACATCTCATAAAAATCATAGGTAGTGAAAGAATTAATTTTTAATGCTTAATATCTTATCTCAGCATCCTATTTTAATTGATATTTTTCATTTGATTGTATTATTAACGAATCCTATAGCTCAACTTCCATATAACCTTCGATTCAATTATTTTAGAATGGTTATTATCTAATTTAT